TGATACTCCCTTCATTCGTTGAATGACGTGTCGACCAATCAAAATCGATCGAGCGTTACATAGGTATGGTTGGTTGGCTTGTTTCGATCATTGGGAGCAGACTATTTGTTTTGTGATGCCTGCATCCTAGCTAAAGCCTTTAGGAAGACGATGAAAATAGGTTTTTCAGCTTCAGATCTATTGCTGCATGAACTTCTTGGCATGCTCCTTGTTAGGAGTGTCTCTAAGGTCTATATCTTCTTATTGGTGTTGCTTCCCTTCTTATTTGCAACATACTCCACGTGCACTGCTCTTTTAGAATGTTGAATCAAGATTTGCTGTGTGAGGCATTCCCAATGATCAATGTGATAGAAATCTTAAGGAAGTAGAGAGAGAGGCAGATAGGGAGAAAAAAATAAAACGACACACATGGACTTGCACCGTAGGGGCAAACTGTGGTATTCTCGATCCGTTGCAATGCTAAATTATTATTAAGTACTTAAGTTTGCAGAGCAAAATTTTTAGTGTGTTATAAGATATTAAAGAGTTCAATAAAAAATTAGAGGTGATGAGTGCCTCTTACACTCATTCCCTTATTACACCAATGTTATTAAATGGTTAACTTAACTACATAACAAGCACAGTCTCTCCTAATCCCGTAAGCTGCATGCGAGTCCTAACCACCCAAGCTACACCATGTGCAATTGGCCCTACAAATTAGTTACCAACTTGACCAAATCATCTCCACCATAGGATGATAACAACTTTCCTCATCAAGACCATTCATTGCCAACATACTTGCACTTAAGGCCTGAATGTTAAATTGTGTCCTTGTACCTAATGTGAGAGGAGCTAAAGCGACGAAGGACAATGTGATATTTCAAGAGGGGCCAAACCGATATTTTGGAATGGGCAAAAAATCAAAATGTTCTCCCATATAAGAAAAAAATTGAATTTAAGGGAGTATGGACAATTGCCCATTCCAAAACAAGCACGGTCTCTCCTAATCCCGTAAGCTGCATGCGAGTCCTAACAACCCAAGCTACACCATGTGCAATTGGCCCTACAAATTAGTTACCAACTTGACCAAATCATCTCCACCATAGGATGATAACAACTTTCCTCATCAAGACCATTCATTGCCAACATACTTGCACTTAAGGCCTGAATGTTAAATTGTGTCCTTGTACCTAATGTGAGAGGAGCTAAAGCGACGAAGGACAATGTGATATTTCAAGAGGGGCCAAACTGATATTTTGGAATGGGCAAAAAATCAAAATGTTCTCCCATATAAGAAAAAAATTGAATTTAAGGGAGTATGGACAATTGCCCATTCCAAAACAAGCACGGTCTCTCCTAATCCCGTAAGCTGCATGCGAGTCCTAACCACCCAAGCTACACCATGTGCAATTGGCCCTACAAATTAGTTACCAACTTGACCAAATCATCTCCACCATAGGATGATAACAACTTTCCTCATCAAGACCATTCATTGCCAACATACTTGCACTTAAGGCCTGAATGTTAAATTGTGTCCTTGTACCTAATGTGAGAGGAGCTAAAGCGACGAAGGACAATGTGATATTTCAAGAGGGGCCAAACCGATATTTTGGAATGGGCAAAAAATCAAAATGTTCTCCCATATAAGAAAAAAATTGAATTTAAGGGAGTATGGACAATTACACCCCCCCCACCCCCCTCCCGATAAAATGCTCGAAACCTTCGACGTGCTTCTGAGTCATTTTTGGATTCAGTAGATGGTATTAAAATTTTGCCCATACTTTAAAAGGATCTGTAAGTGGGTATTTTTGGTATTTACATGAGAAAGCATGTTGTCAGGCTATTGTATGACTTGGCTGATTGACCTTAGTTGATTTCGAGTCGGTAGGATCAACTTGTTCGATATAGATCGGCCAGCTGATATTACCTGGTTATCGACTCTTAGTCATTGACGAGGAACTTTTGAGGCGTCCCTCAGATGGATAGAGATGTCGTGGGATCGGATCTTCCTTTAATTCATTTTTGTTGAAAAGGTTGGCTTTTGTATCTGGTTCACATTCCAGTAATGGTCGGCCCAGATGTTCTATTGCCTTGCATCTAACCGACTGGGTCGGGCTTGGGTCATCCGGTTATCTTTTTGTGTGCCTCGTGGCTTGGACAATTTTGGCCTCTTCGGTTTGGCTCAAACAACTCCAATCGGTCAAACAAGTAGACTTCATGATATGGCAGTGGGCCTAGTGTTGTAAACGAACGAACACACTCGATGAACAACTCAAACTCGAATCGGTTAAGTCGATCATGTTCGGTCAAATTAATAAATAAGCAAATTTTAACAACAAGTTCGACTATGTTCATGTTTAGTTCATTTATTTATAGTCACGAACAAACTTGTTTACTATTCAATAAGTAACTTGTTAAATACTCAATATGAAACAAGAATATGACTCATATCATAAATGATATATTATTTAAATAAAATTTGATTTGTCAGAATTTATTTAATTATAGATTTAATAGTAACATGTTATTATATCAATAATATTTATAGATTAATTCTTAATTATATATTTATTTTATTAATAATTATTAACTATTTGAAAATTAACATGACTGAATTCTAAAAGTGATCATCATTTTTGTTAATTTTTTTTTATTATGCTTGATCAGATTGCCTTTGAATTTTCTCAATTATTTCAACAATTGATGAATAATTTTACATTGTGAGTTCTTTTCTAATACTAATTCATTTATTTATTTTTTGCTCTTATTTTGTTATTATTTTCTTTATATTAGAATTCATTCTTGTAAGAATTTTCTATTATAGACACAAGATGATAATAGGTGAGTTCGTTTGTTTGCATATAACATATACAAGTTATATGATTTATTCAATTATTTATTTTTTAGATTTATAAAATTTATATTTTTATATGAAAATCTATATATTCCCTTGAATGTTTTACTCATTTAAATACTCATCACTTGTCATGAGCAAATCAAGTACAAATTCAGTTCAAACATTGAAAATTTTAAACAAGTCAAACTTGAACAATATGTGAAAGCTTGACACAAGCTCAAGCCAAACATGAACAACTTATAATTGTATCAAACCAAGTCATAACTATGATATACTCGGCTTGGCTCGACACAAAAATTCTCTTTAAGTTGGCTATTGCATATGGGGTCTTTCTTGTAAAGACCGGCTCTAATGTTCTTTCACCTCGCATCTGGCCAATTGGTTCGAACATGGGTCGTTCAATTGTCTTTTTGTCCACTTTGTTGCTTGGTCGATTTTGGCATTGCTGGCTTGGCTCAGACAACTTCACTTAGTCGAACAACTTATCACGTTCTGGTAGTAGGCCCACCTCTTCTTCGTACTCTTTCCTTCTCGACCGTTAGATCACCTTAGGATCAATGCTGACACATTTCCTTATGTACAGGATCAAAGCCCTACATTGAGTCTACTTTCAAGTCGTTGATTGCTTACTCAAACTTCAATTTGAGATGATGCACAGTAATTATATATTTACATATACTTGTTTAAAAAATATATATTTATAAATAATTTAATTTAGCTGTATAAAATGTGCTTTATATACTTGCAATATCAATATCTATGTCTACTTAATTTAGATTAAACTTAAAATTAATTTGCGATTGGTAATTAACAAGTACTCAACTTGAACTAAAATTAAATTAATTTCGAGTTGAATTAAGAAAAAAACCAAATTACTTCAATATTTCATCACTTCTCTCATAATCTAAAACTTAATTAATTTCATCAAAATAATTTAAAACTTTAATTTATATGAAAATTATCTTAATAATTAAATATTTTATACGTACATCTTGATGCTCTCGCGTGCATAGAGATGAACTCATTAATTCTTATTTAGACATTAATTTGATGAGTTTACATACGTAACATCTAATATAGGAAAATGGGCAAAAAAATAAGAGAATTTTGCCTAAGTAAAGTTTGGGGCATTTACATACATACCACTTAATTCTTCTGTATTTACATATCTAACCCTTAAGTTTTACTTATTACATTTATACCACACAAATCCTTCATATCACATACAAAAATGCCGCTATTTTAATTTAAAAAAAGTTGAAATATACCCTCCCATAGATTAGGCAAGGTGGCATGTATGTAAAAATTGAAGTTAAAAGTGTTGGATATGTAAGAACAAATGAATTGAGTGGCATGTATGTAAATCTTCCTAAAAAGTTTTAAATATTATTTTAATAATTGTAAAAATTTTAAATCTTTAATATAGTAATTGAATTTTTTTAATTATTATATATCAATCTCCTTTATTTAAAAAATGAAAGTACATCATCTATACAATTATATCAAATAAATTATAATTCTGTGTAGTGCTGTCAAAACGGCTCGTTGTTTGCGAACAGCTAGTGTTTGGCTTGTTAAGAAGTTCGTGTTCGGCTCATTCGCTAAGTTAACGAGCCGAATACGAACAACACAAACAAATATTTGTTCGTTCGTGTTCGGCTCGTTTTGACTCGATATGTATATGTATATATATATATGTATATGTATATATATATATGTATATATATATATATATATTTGATGAGTTGTATTTAAAAAAAAAAATAATTGACTAGAAGGCTACAAAGATTTATAATCAATTAAAAGCATTAATTAAGAAAATAGAATAAAACTTATTAAATTATATTCAAATGATGTTTTAAATCTTGACCCAATCCTTAACATCCTATGATCATGTGATTAGGATTGTCAAAATGACTATTTGTTTGTGAACGACTCGTGTTCGGCTTGCTAAGTAAACGAGTCAAACACAAACACATTTTTTTAGCTCGAAATATAAACAAGCCAAACACGAGCCAGCCTGAGCTCGCTCGTGTTCGACTCGTTTACACCCGTCATCCTGTGTGGCAGACATAATCAACAATCCAACATCATAACGACACTACTAAAATTTTTTACAAAAACAAGAATCTTCAACCAATATGCAAAAAAGTTTTTTGCACGCAATTAATAAAATTATGCATCATCGCCGATTAAGTAGGTAATTTTGTTCACCAAACCAATAATTCATGGCACATAACATCTTTAGATCAATATTACCTCTAATCCATCATAATATACAAAATTGCACATCAACGCCTCACCCCTAACCACATATACCCCCAAATATATAAGACTTAAACTAATTTAAATTTTTTATTAGCATCAAGACGACAATTTTATAAAATTGATCTATTGAGCAAAAAAGGATGCAAAAGGCCATGACCACACCCACCACCCGAGCTTCATTTGCTCCCTGGAAGAAGAGGGTTGAGCTCGGTACTGATGGTGTAGAAAACAATTAAGGTGTAGAACAGAAGGCCAACGAAACCGCTTATTAGGGCGCCCATGACATGGTTGCAATACTTAGGGACCTGATCGCATATCGGCAGCCATCCCGCGTGTACGTTCCCTTTCTTCCCCACCTGAGCAATCGCCAACGCCGCCGCCATCGCCGACGTCAGAAGCATAGCAATTGTCTGAATTCAACGAGAAAACGTCAGATTAGTTCATATGCTTGAGCTCAGATTGAGCGAGTTTAAGTATTGTTCTGCTCGACTCATTGAGCAAATAACCCACAAAACTTGATGTTTGTTTTTTGCTTTTTAACATATTGAGCTAAACACGAACTACTAATGAAAATAAGATCTACTCGAAAGTTGTACATAAATGATATAGTATATATGTACCACTAGGTATATGTGCAAATATCCATACATGCATAACATATGGATAACTGCACATACTCTATAAAAGAAATTTATATATGTAGCACACAATTCTTATGTACTTAGATATCTCACACCTAAATATGATGAAAATGTTAGGAGTAGAATACGAATGAATTAGGGGTTGTTCGTAGTTACCACATCAAACACGATAACCCATCTTGACACGAGACCAGCTGAGGGAGCGAATAGAGCGAAGATGCTGTAAAGAGCGGCGATGCAATTTGCAACGAGGAAGAACCTGAGAACAAGAGTTCATTCCAAGGTTAACTCAAGCTTGGTTTGAGATCAGAGATAATGAAAGAGAGAGGGAGAGATGATTACTTGAAGGAAGGAGTTTGGGTGAAGTCAGCCTTGAGGGTGAGGTTGAAGTAAGTGGTGGTCTCGCGGCTGGTGGCCATGACGACAGCGGCGGTGATGACGGCGGCCATGGCCATGAGCCTGAGCAAGATAGTGCAGGCTCTGTAAATCTTCACCATGATTGAAATGAGAAAGTTATGAGTTGGGAGTGGTAATCAGAGGTGGAATAAATAGGAGGGGATTTGGAAGGGGTAGTTTAACCAGAGGTTTACATGGAGGATTTTGAGGGTGGTGGGCTCAGATTGGTGACCTATACTTTGCAATTTTAAATTTTTAATTTTTTTTTTTAAATTTAGGTTTGATGATGTCATGGAGGAGAAGTTTTCAGCTACTTGATTAAATTGTTTGTAAGAGTTTGATGCTTCGAGTGGGATTTAGAAGTTTAATTTTAATTATTTTTTTTATTATTTTATGTTTTATGGAGTGGAGTTGGTTGAGGTTAGCCATCTTTTGTACTAGGAGGTGAGCTAGATGGAGACAACTGAAATTAAATTAAGTGGATTGGGTTCTAGACGATGCTTGAACCGTGTTACATTTGATTAATTTTGGTTCTCTGATCATGTTGACGTTCAATCAATATGATCTGACAACACGAAAAACATTTAGACCGTGACGAAACCAACATCAATCCTCTTGAAAATAGGTAAATTTACATTCCTAGCATACAATTCTTATGCATTTATATGTCTCACACCAAAATTTTTATTTTTACAAGCATAGTAATTGGTACTTTAATCCTATGCATGAAAATGTGTATTTAACTTTTACATAGTGATAAGAGAAGATATTACATGGCATGTGCAGACAATGGTGGATGAGATGGTCATGTCACCATAATTTCACTCAGATATCACGTGTGTCATTCTCTTCCACCGTTACATAGAAAGCATGTAATGTTTTCTCAACAATTTGAGAGTTATGTATGTAAATATGAAATTTTATGTGTGAGATATGTGAATACATAAGAATTGTGTGGGATGCATGTAATTGCCACTAAAAAATAAACACAATTAATGCCAGATTTATACACGACAAAATAACAAAATATCACAGTTTAATGTGTTTTTCAAATAAAAAAAAAGATAATAAAAAGCATCGCACATTATTTATGAGACTCGAACTCAATTTAACATGACCTGAACTTAATTTGACCGTTCTTTCTTCAAATCACCCGAGCTAACTCAAACCAACCCTAAACTCTAATTTTTTTCGCAATAAGTGAACTCTAGTTTTTATTTTGGTCCCACTTCCAACACCTTGTTCATTCATGGTTAAGAATAATGATTTAAATGATTTCTTATAAGAGTATGGTAGACCATGTTGTTGGACCATACTGTTATGTTACATTTTTCAGAAAGAAAAATTGATACTGGCTTCCAAAGTTTGTTATAATTAAGCCCTTTAGAAAATATATTTCGATTCATTTCTAACTATAATATGACTACTAAATGATGACATGATAATTCAATACGTGCAACTTCCTTTCATTCAACAACTGATTGCTACTTTTGGGGATAAAAATGTAAAAAAAAAAAAGGAGAAAAAAACAACCGACTACCACTTCTGACATGACTCTTTGAACACTTTTTGTTTCAGTTCACACTCAAAACACTTATTATGGCTATTAGATTGCTTGCATTTTTAAAACATCAGAAATTCGGGGCATTTACATGCACACCACCCTATTTTTATGTATTTACATATCTGAAGTTTGTATTCTAGTTTGTTATATTTAAATCACCCAAATTTTTATTATTACGTATTCCGGTATTTTAACTTTTACAAATTAAAACATAGGTGTTGGATATATAGGTAAAAAGAAGGGAATTAGGGGTATGTATATAAATTTTCTAGATATTAATATTAACATTCTAAGTCATTTTGAATGAAAGAAAAAGATCATTTACAGACATACCTCTCAATAGGGGTGTAAACGAACCGAACATATATTTCGAGTTCAAAAAGTGTATGCATGTTCAGCTCGTTTGTTTACTTTAGCGAGCTGAATACGAGTTGGTCACGAACAAATAGTCATTTTGATAATCCTAATCACACAACCATAAGGTGTTAAGGGTCGAGACAAGATTTAAAATTTATTATTTATATTAAAGCATCACTTGAATCTAATTTAATATTTTTTATTCTATTTTCTTAATTAATACTTTTAATTGATTAAAAATCTTTGTATCCTAGCAGTCAATAATTTTTTTTAAAAAAATACTACTCTTCAATATATATATTTATTTATATATATAATTGATGAGCAGTATTTCGAGCCAAACACGAACGAACAATTCTTTGTTCGTGTTCGGCTTGTTAAATTAGCAAACGAGCCGAACACGAGTTGTTTGTGAACAACGAGCCGTTTTGACAGCCCTACCTCTCAATTCCTATGTATTTATAACAATAACCCCTAAATTTTAATTTTAAGATTTATAGCACCCAAATTATTATTAATTTTTTTTTTAATTTCTATTTTTTCACCCAAATTATATTTATCACATAAAACTATCACTATTTCAACTACATATTTTCATGAATAGCTAAGATGCTATGTATGTAAGAAATTAAAGTTTGAGTGTTAGATATGTAAATACATAAAAAAATTAATTGATATGTACGTAAATATTCCCAAAATAAAATTCTTGAACATCATTTTTCTTAAATGTTTAAAAGAGTAGCTGTGAGAAAATTTTAATTGCATTAAAAACTAAGTAACCGTTTTAGTAGTAGCTTTCCAAAAGCAATTTTATGCTTCTGGCTTTTTGGCCGGATTGATTAAATCAATTGTATACAACTAACATATATGTACAATTTATGCCATCTGAAAAAAAACCTTATCAAGCACAACTTAAATATAGTTTTCATATCACAAAGCAAGCATATAGTTGAATTTAGAACATCAAAATTAACTATGCGGTAAGTGTGACAATATTTTTACCAAATTTATACTAAAAACAACCATCACAATGAGACAAACTAATCAATATATCCTCTAAATATTTTTAGCAATTTGATTCTACTCTAAATATGCTTAAATTAAGGAGTCATCTTACGTGTTGGTCAATTCAACGGTAGAGTGATATATTAAGGTTCTAATGTTGTACGGAGATCCAACACACACAGATAAAAGAAAAAAAACTAACAGATAGATAGAACAACATGAAGTTTTACGTGGAAAATCTGAAAGAGGAAAAGCAATGGACCCTTATCATTTTTCATTAACCTCAAATCTCATATCAGTGGATACACACGATTGGCAGCCAAGAACTGAGTTAGGTCTGGTCAAACTGCAAGAGTCAAATGATAGTCTAACAGTCAACTATAGGGGGGAAAAAACAAGTTATCTTTCAATATTAATTTACTTTTTTTCATTATTATAATAATTATTGTTTATGGTTTTCTTTGTGCATGGCAATTACTTACAGCCCTTCATCTATCTTTGTGGTCAAACTTTTGATCCTGCATGTGTTTCAATGGAAAAAATATTAAGTCCGAGCGGCTATGTGAATCGGATCACGCCACTCGCACAACAGTTTGGTACGTTTCAAGCCGTCGTCCAAACATCCGGACGACACACACCTAGACAGAGATATTATCAAACTCGATCATCTTTGGTGAGGCTAAAAGTATCATCCATTTTTTTTATATGAAAAATAAATGAATTTTTACTTGCTAAACTATGATCCATCCTTCCACACCATCAAAATCTTCCCCGCAAAAGAATTTAATTTAAAAAAATCATTAATGCATTGACTACAAAGTCAAGATTACCTCTCAAATTTATTATTATTATTATTTTTACTGCAACAAAAAGATTCTCTGAAGTGGGGATAACATAGAGTTAATTAAAGGCTTGTTGGGCAGGATTTGGCAAGAGTAGCCTTATGAACATGAGAGTGGTTGAGAAAGACAAACAGAGAATAAGAGAGAGAGAGAGAGAGAGAGAGAGAGAGAGAGATGATGTCAAGGTGGTGAGAGAACACATGCTAAAGCAGGATAACCCACCAACCATAATACAGAAGTAAAACAAAGAGCAAACCTCCTAAAGAAACAAATCAAAATGAGAGAAGTGCAGCCAAAGCATACTAAAAGCCTTAATCTTTCAATGAACTTCTGGCTTCCAGGCATGCGGTGCCATTTCAATGATTCTGATCCCAAGTTCTCTCCCAGAAGCTCCAGCTGCATAACCGTGCTTTGAAATATTCTAAAATATCTTAGTATCCCCAATTATACTAGAGTTTAGATCCAAACACTTGTATACATAGTTGCAATAATTTAATAGATAGTTAATTAATACAAATTGCTCTTAATGATAATTAATTCACTTTCTTTACCATTTACAAACAACTTAATTAGACTAATGTGATGTCACTAGTAGATTGCATGAACTACAAGTGTGTTAACCAATATATTTGAGTATAACAAATTATACTACTGCAATATATACAGCTGGTTGAATAGTTAATTAGTGAGTTAATGATTATATTATTTTATTTTCATTTTACATGTATTTGTTTTATTCACTTTTTATTGCAAAAATTTTTGTCAACCCACTAATGCCTCTAATGTCTTATTCTCATCCATGTTGGTCAGGCTACTTAAGCAAAAAAAATATTATATGTCTCAATAAAATTTTTTGCATACGTTATCCGGATGCAGGGCTGTGTCCGGAACGACCGAGTTTCTCCTATCGCGGCAGAGAGAAAAATAAAACACCGCGATTAAGTATATCGCGCCCGTTGTCCGGACCCAGCACCATCCAGACAACATACTCAAAAATCGCTCAATAATAACCTTCCAGAGAAATTTATTGACAATTGGAAACCTTCTCTAAGCCAAAATTACGTGATGAAAGCTTTTTGATAATGTTAATAATTAAAGAATTGCATAGGAAGTTTTTAATTAAAAAACTAGCCGGCCATAGAGTTCCTCATATTTTTCAATATTGGATTTATAATTGCATTTCAAAACATGTCAGCTTTTAATATAAAGATTCATAAACCAAAAATTATCTCATCGTTTAGATTATATTATATATGTTCCGCCGTGAACTTTTAGATCAAAACCTAATAAAATTCAGATGACAAACCCTACCACAATTGATACTTAGAATGGGCTATCTTGTTTGTCGTTAGGACATGTGGACGATGACAGCGGCGTGGTCCGATCTATGCCTTACACCGAATGTCCAATTTACCGAATGTAATATTTTCTTCTTATC